CTTCATATAAACACAATCACATTCTCCTCCTTTGCTTTCAATGCAAAGGAGCTTAATTTCAGAGACCCAGCTGGATCATGAACCTAGAGTAAAAATTGTGAGAATCCTTTGATCTTTGAAACACAGGGAAAAATGACTATAAAATGTGAATAATCAGTCTCAAATGAAGTCAGAAAGATAAACCTGATTTTATTTTTTTATTGTGGAATTTGCATTTTCACAATCAAGAAAACACTATTAGCTAACGCCTACCTGAAGCCTTCAAAAACAATGGGATGGACCCAGGACACAAGGGTCACAGAGAGATAGTGTCAAAGATATCATGTTTGAAAACACAGATAACTTGAAAATTATTTCTCATATTTTACTTATTTCTCTCTTGTTTTAATTATTTCCTTGCTACCCAAGATAGTCCCCAAACCCCATCTTAACCAGGATATGCTGGTTTGAGTGGAAAAGAAGCAGCGTGGAAAAATTTCAGATTCATGGTTTTGTATAGAGAGTAATTAGTACATATGGGTCTCTGTTTAAAATAAATCTAAAGATAAGTTAATACCTTTATTATATACATGTATTTACATGATATGCAACTTAGGTGAATAGTGACTTAACCACTGTATTAGTCACATATGACATAATTTTTTGTATGACATATGGGACATCTTCAGAACCAGTATGGCATTGAGAGTCACATAGTCCGATGGCTACACATGAGACCTTGCCAGAGGAGTACACTAGGGCATCAGTTCACTCCTTCTTATAGATTGGGAAATGATTTTCTTGATAGCATAGCTAAAGAATATATTAATTGTAGGTTAAAATCACTGGTCTTAAAGAGTACTATTAATGGTTTATTTTTAGTTTAAAAAGTTAAATCATAATTATTATCACAGAGTAAGAGAATACATTTGTAATGTTTATGACTAATTAAGGATTTAAAGTAGGAGCAGGGATTCCCGTATTTTGAAAAATGACAAAAATACAGCTAACAACAGTTTAAAAAAATCTTAGGTTGTACATAAAAGAGGATTTTCAAATGATTAACACAGAAGGTAGATAATTCTCCAAATCACTAGTCACCAGGTTAATCTAATTTTTAAAGATAATCATATTTATCTTCATACTCACATTAAATAAGAGGCTAGCAGGTGTTTGCAAAGGTCTGGAGGAACAGGGACCTTTACATTATGGTAATGAAGTTTCATTAGGAACAATTAGTTAGAAAATGCTTAGCAGCATGTACAAAAGATGAATATTGTCATACTTAAAAATGCAGCAATTCCACTCATGTGTATAATGTCTATTCACATGTATTAAATACACTACATTGTATTTTTTAGAATACCATTTTAGACAAATTCAGCAACAACCTAATTGCTGCATAATAGATTATATAAATAATTCCCTTCATATTTCAGACAATTAAAGAGGAATAAATTACTTACATTTGCACTAAAATAGACGTGTCTCCCATTTGTGATGTTGAGACAAGAAACTTGGCATAGAAACTACAACATTTACTATTCTCTTCAAATAAAAGTCAAAACAGTAAATTCTATGATGATAGAGGTTGTGGTGGTTGCCAAGGAGTAGTGACTGGAATATGAACGAGGCTTTGGGCATGCGATTAATGGGCTATATTTGACCTTGGCTGTGATTGCTTAGATGTGTGTAGTTTTGTACTTGAAATACTTGCAAGTTACTGTGGGCAGGAGAGCATTCTGTGCCTTTTTCCTGAAACTGAAAATGAAGCTTTGTAGAGAACTGGTACAGACACGTGATCTAGTCCATGTTGTTCAGAAAGGGAGGTAAATGATGTTTTAGTAAGAAAAAAGTAAGAGTACACTTGCTTTCTGTGTAACAGTGTAAAACAAAAACGTACAATGACAATCAGGACTCCTTGTAGGATTTGAAGGGATGAACAGGGATGGACACAGCAAGAACAGGAAGAGAGTATGCTTACTCTTCACTTCTAAAACCATTTTGTTTTTAAACCAGTGAATGTACTCAAAATAGTCTTTGAAATATAAATATCACAAGATGAAAATGATCTGTTTACTAGTTGCACTGCCCCCCCTTAAGTTTGCATAAACTTATACAAAGCATTGTCTTCTATGTAAAGAGTACAGTTTCTATATCAACTATATCCCTCTTTACATTAAACATACATAGATGGTTTACATTTGTCTCTGTGTGTGAGAGAGAGACAGAAACAGGGAAAATACAATGTTACAGGTTTAGAGATTCTATAACTTGCATTTATTTCAACACTAACCCATTAAACAGATGGCTGGAATCCTTTGAGACCTGTCACTTAGTCCAGAGTTTATGTCAGTGACTTTGGGGTATGCGAGTCCATGTTCCATCTCACCTTTTTATGCAGAGTGCTGACTGAGTGGGGTGAAGGATAGTCTATTGTCATTGGTTTATATTCACTTCAAGAACAAGACACAAAACAGTGATTCTTTTGAAAAGCAAAATTGTGTTTGCCAGTGGCAATGTTCCCACCTTTGTGCTTGGCTCTAAAAGTTCTCATTTTCACTTGATACTTTGGTTCATGCTGTTTAGCCACACTAGGTTTCCAGTGCAGGGAACATCTGGATTGTTGAATACCAAAACTAGAAGCTGAACAGTCTGAACAATAACATTACTGGACCAGGTGCTTTCTCAATAGGAGACAGAGAAGGTTCTTGTTATTTAGGGACTTTTATATTCATTTGAAGAACAGAGGAGCAGAGCTGATCATGACTCATGTTGGTCCTAGCATCAGAGTAAGAGGCCCTCTGCGCAGGAGGGTTTTTTTGCCTCAGCAGTTTGATCTCAAATCAGAGATACCTGGCACATCTACTCAATGGCATGAGAAAATCTACTGGTACGTGAATAAACTATGTAAGTAAGCTCCGGATATGCTGATTAGAAAGCTAAATAGCAGTAATGACTTGATTCATGTCAGTAGTTATTGACACAGGCTCATAGCTAAAGGGATTGGTGATATCAAGTCTTGAAGGCCAGGTGGGGCCATACAAGAACCTGGAATTTCCCTCTTGGATCTCAACATTTTGTAAACATGTTCTATCCACTGGGGCAGGTATGACTCATAGCTGTGAATTAGGAATGATTCACTTAATTCATTCTGAGCTTTTCTCTATATCTCAATTGCATTTTATAATATATAGACATTTAATTTTAGGTTGTATCTTTGGTATCGTTGGAGAAACTGTAACCAATTTAAACAGACTTATTACTTCCTTTTGATTTTAGGCAATTATTGGGGCTTTTGAATGATGTGACTAATGATATTTTATATAGTTAAATAGCTTGCGGGAACTACAGCTCTTTATTGTGTGCACAAAGAAAAATACCTACAGGAATATCGGAATGTCTTATGTATGACTAATGAGGAGTAAGAAACAGGAGAACACTGACATAACATTGAAAAGAATTCATCAAGAAGAGTTCTTGGAAAGTTTTTCTGGGTTCCCATGTCTCAATACATCTTCAAATAACAAAAAGAAATTTGAGTTACACAAGGATACTTCATGGGGGGTCACATAGCTCAAGACAGATATGGACAGACTACAAATGATATGAGTTCACATTGAAGTTGTCTTTCTAATAAGGAGTTCCCTTATCGTGTGTGTGTGCGTGTGTGTGTGTGTGTGTGTGTGTGCGTGCATGCGTGTGCCTGTGTGTCTGTGTGTCTGTGTTCCTGTGTATAAATCAAGATAAGCTTTCTCTGTGGAGCCCTGGCTGTCCTGGAACTTGCTCTGTAGACCAGGCTGGCCTCAAACTTAGAAATTTTCCTGACTCTGCTTCCTGAGTGCTAGGATTACAGGCATATGCAAACACTGCCTGGTTTACCTAAGCCCTCTAAGATTCATTCTCTTTGCTTCAGTTGATGATGACAAATGCACATGGCAGACATTCCTCAGCTTTTGAGCAGAAGAAAGTCAGTCTTTCCATAGAAGATTAAATATGTATTATAATTCTTAATATAGATTTGGAGGGTGTTATGAAACACCAAGGGGCCAGAGAGATGGTTCAACAATTAATTGCACTTGGTGCTCTTCCAGAAGACCAACGTTTAGTATCCAGCATCTGCAATGGGCAGCACTCAGCATCCTATAACTAACCTTAAGGGACTCTAAAGTCCTATTCTGGTCTCAGTATCTGTACTAACCATTACACTACTTCACACAGGTGTATTGCACAGATAATGCAAATATAATTTAAAAATAATACACATTTAAAGACTACCCTAAGACCTAGTCAAGGGCATTTGAGAGTTAGAGAAGGTTCAAGACCTAGCTGTGAAATTTCCAGTAACTTAAGGCATATCCACAGGTATCGCTTCCTCTCTGAAGCAATTATTATGAAGGCTGCGCTCTCCTTTAATTCCATTCACCATTAATAAAATAGAAATTAGATATGATTAGTTACTGAACACATTTCTCACATTGATCTGTTTAGAAACGTCCTTTTTGTCTCTTGGAGTATTTTCATTTTCTGAAGATGTCAGCTGGGCTTGATGAATTTTTAATTTTCTTCCAGCAATATTTGTTATTCTTCTTGCTTTTTTATTCAGAAAGATTACTCAATGAAATAGACAGATTTCTTAAATATGCATTAACAGTTCTGAAATATTTCCCTTAAGAGTTTAGACAAGAATATATCATAATGAGTCCACAGAATGTTCTTTTCATGAGAAAAACACACAAAATTACTTTTGCTACATTTGAATTATGATTCACAGAATACATGTAACTGTAGAGAAATAAGAAAAATGGGCTAAAAAGGTGTTCTTATTTTCTGTATCAAATATCAAAATCAAATATCAAAATGGAGTGAAAGATGGGAGTGTGCAGGGCTGGGGATGGTGACTCACACCCACTAGACAATTTAACAGACACAAATTCTGACCATCAAAGCATAAACCATCAAGGAAATTTTAAAATGGAGAATTAGAGAACCATGTTTTTTTCTTTGAAAAATACAAACCATTAAACCCAAAAGGGCCAGAAATATTTTATTGATGTAAAGATAGAAACAGATGATAGTTGAAATGACATTTTCAAATTATAGCCATCATTAAAATTTCAGGCAAACTTTAACAATTATTGTTAATGTTAATTGCATCATAATTGGTTTCTCTAAATCTACAATTACAACAACATCTGTTAATTTTTATCAATTCGTTTCATAAAGAAAATAGATGATGATATTTAAAAACCCATGGAGATAAAATTAGTGTCATCTCCAAAATCATAATTTCAGAATATATTTTCAAACATATCTATATTAAGACACAGTAGTTCTGTGAAGTATTGGCTTGTTTGTTTTGATGATTCTCCTTCACTAGTGAAGATACAGCCCCAGCCCATTTAGCAATTATTCCAAGTCATTTACTGTGCCATAATAGCACTAGGTAGAGACTATTGCTGTATTTTGTTACACAATATAGTACGTACCTGACAAAGATTAGAAAGACTAAGTGCTTAGGACATAGTCTCTGAATGATAATATCATAGCGGATAATCTATCCTGTCTTATGAATTGTAAAACAACTGTCACATTTGCTCTCTGTTTCTTGACTCAGGAAATTGAATAGGTGAAATCACATCTAAGGAGAGCCATTTATCCACTGTCATCCTTGTAAACTTGAGTTACTGAATGAAGGAGCTTTGGAAGGTGGTACATCTGCTCAGATCTGAAATTATGTATTTCCAGATCTCCCTTCCCCTCCAAGTGGTTCCATTAATCTAGTTCATTGTAGTGTTGGCTTTTTGGTGTGAATTAAGTCCATCAGCATCTGATTAAAACTGCCTTTTTTACAAAAATTGCTGACATTTCAGCATTAATGCTAAGTATAAGATCCACGCCTTACCAAAAGAGTGATAAAACTGACTGATATCTTGGATTTCAAGAAGTGTAGTTGGTTGCATTGTTTGAAAACCAGTCACAGGGTTAGTTCACTTACTGAGTAGCTCAGCCAATGCTGAGCTAATGATAGTGCCAGTAATGATATTTCAGGTCATTTCCTGTAAGTTTAGCTGCAACTGGAAATGTGATGAAAAATTACAGACATATTTTGTAGAGTTTATAAGAAAAGTTCATTAAAATTGAGTATTTGTATCATCATGAAGATGAACACTCTCAACAGTTATTTATAGAGACACATGGACTAGTAAGTTAAAAACTGCCATCCATTTAACTGGCGTTTATATCCAGTCAGTCAAAAGAAAGTAAGACATTTTATGAGTATATCTAGGACCAAAATGTCTCACTTGAACTTTTTACATCATTTGTATTGTTTCCATTTGAAAAAGAAAACATTTAATTTCACAGAAAGAATGTATTGACACATAAACTGTGTTTGACTCGGTCACCCACGATTGTTGATTGATCTAAACATTCACCCAGCTGATGTTTTCACTGGAGAACAATCTAGAGAAGTGAAAATTTCTTATCTCCTTCACTTGCATATTAAACAAAAATTTATCAGACATGCTTAACTGCAAGTGTAGTTCTACAGGAGAGAATGTCTTAACTGGCAAAGACAAACCTCATAAATAAGATTCATCAAGCATTTGTTCTTTGTCATGTCCTGTCTATCTGATACTTTGAGATTTAAGAATATGACAAGGGACTTACAACACCCTGGTGTGAGTCATACCTATTATAGAACCTTGCCACAACTGAACTAGAAACAGACATGAATGTAATGATATACATAGGTCTTTGGGTAAACTGAGTTTACTCACATGAGGCAGAAGACCAACTTTTATATATATTTCTGTACTATTTAAGCCTAGAGCATAGTATGCTACCAATTTAAAAATTATCTACCTGAAACCAGAAATTTCATTTTGTAATTGGCCAATTACATTTAAAAGACCAGTACGAAATAAACTTCAATGTAACCTTTCAGTGAATATTAACAACTGAATGTAAATACTCCACCCACAGCAACAGACACACATGAAAATTCTTGAGCATTAGACCCTCCAACACATTTGCTTATTAGTCAACCCCTTTGTCCATGCCATCTATCTATGACAGGCAGAAGGATGTTTTCAAAGAAATCTCCACATTGGATAGTTTCATTGGGTGTGCCACCATGGACTAAAGAGGAGTATCCATTTTCATCACATTAATGCAGTTGTCAGGGTCATGCATGAGTGTCTATTGTCCTTGCTGCTTCTGTCCTGGGGAGTTGGGTTTGCCAGAGTTCTCTTCAGGACGCTGGGCAGGAGTGACAGGAAACTGAAATCCATAGCCATTGTATCCATCCAAGTAGACGCATTGAAAGAAACTGATAGGATCTAAGGAAGAGAGCATGATTTTTGTTACAAGTTTGACTTGGGCAGCAACAAAGCAGGCACACTGAGGCACTGCAGCACAGTAGATTAGTCCCTAACTATAGTCAGAGAGCTACTGGACATAACTAAACTTAGTTATGCCTTGGGTTCTTCAAGCATAAAATCAAAACAACGGAAATCATGACGGGGATATTGAGAAAAGTAAATGAACCAGCATAGTGTGTGTGTGTGTGTGTGTGTGTGTGTGTGTGTGTGTGTGTGTGTGTGTGTGAATTGTTTCATTTATCTTAACTCTGAAGGTGTGAGATCTACAGAGACAGCCAGTTTTCTTATTCTGTCAATGTTCTAATGCAGACGATTCAAGCATAGAGGAACACAAGGAGGATAAACGAATACAGAACAGGGCCAGCAAGATGACTCTGGGTTAAAGATGTTTGCTGTGAATCTGGACTAAGCTCAAGCCCCAGCACCCATATAATGGAAATGAAGAATCAACTCCTGATAGAGTGTCTTCTTACACCCACACACACGATGCCTATCCTCACCTCCACCTAATTAATACATTGGTTTTTAAGGAGTGCAGTGCAAATATTATGTGAAGAGTGTACAGAACCTGAGCTCTGGATGTTAAACCAGGTCTCCCTAGAGGCAGCTGTGTTGAGATAGAACACCTCTCCTGTAATCACAGACAAACTTACTGACCCTCCACTATTTTCTAATCTGTCCATGTGTATTACTGCAAACAATTACAGACATTTTTCAGATGGCCACGGATGAAAAGGCCAACCAAAAGAAGTGATGTGTAGGAGATAGGAAAGATGATTAATTTCATATGAATGAAATGAAGCATTGGGGGAAAGAACCTGAAAGAAGTAGTAATACCTGTTAGGTTGGCTTCACCAGATTTCTTTTGTTTCAGCCTCCCAAGCTCTGAGGTTATAGGCATGAGTCATATTAAGGGTATCCTAAGACTAGTGATTAGAGTTTACCTGGCTGCAGTAACCAGGTTTTCAGAAATTAACCTGCTTTCTGTTTTGTTCTACTTTGGTGGCACAAATACTCTTTATCTAAATCTGTGGAGATGATGATAGCAGTGAGCTTGAATTAGATGAAGTAACAAAAAAAGCTGTTCGAGTCAGTGCAAAATAACAGCTCTGGCGTTAAAATTCAAGAGCCTCTTCATGATAGGTCTATTTCATTTGAAATTTGCAGATGCAGGTGCTGTCCTGGCATATGCATATAACTGGAGTTGTAAATTCTATTGATTAAAATACTAATAGTTCTAAAAATTTTAGAGCCTACATTAAAGACTCATGAAGACTAGGACATACAGCTACTGTGTTAGGATAAATATGGTAAAACTGTTTTGAGATAATAAATTCCATGACTGGAAATCTGTACTGAAAAAGATTGGACAATAATGCATTTAATTTTAATTTAATTTTATATTGCTTTGTCTTTGAGGAAAAGTTTTTCTCTGTAACAATGGCTATTCTGGGTTACTTAGTATGTGTCCCAGAATGGTTTGAACTCAAGGCAATCATAACCATGTCTCAGCATCTAGAGTACTGGTAGTAGAAACCTTGCCTGGATACTTTTGATTACATTTCTTCTTATGTTGAGATAATTTAGATTCACACTCAATTGTGAGAAACAATACAGAGACATTACTTGCATGTTCACCCAGTTTCTAACACAGACAAGATAAAAAGAAAATTAGTGAGGACACATCTATTTATTGAATTGTCTTTTAATGCTTCTTTATGAAATAAGAGATTTCAACTATTGATGCAATTTAGTTGAAAATTATTAACAATAGTTTATCAGTTGGGAGGGTGTGGTAGCTTGGATCATAATTAAATTTCATGAATTTTGCTATGGTAACTGAAATTATCACATCAAGACAGCTTATATTATTGTGTTTCTCACAATCTGATTGTATAAAGCCTCCTAGTAATCCTCTTTTATATGTTGCAGTTAAGTCAGTGACACCAACAACACTCCCAGCATATCCAAACCTCTCAATTAATAAATCACTTCAGCAAATTCCTACAGAAGGCATGGAGAAAGCCATGCAAATCCTATAGTAATTCTTTTCTCAGATAAATGTTCAGTTCTTTACTTTAAAGCATTATTCCTGATGACCTCATTGGATCTATTATAAATTACTGGTTCTAGTTTGGCTGGTGAAGGCTTTATTTAATATTTATGTGGATCCATGATATGTTGCTTTCCCATCTGAACAAAATGTTTAATTTGGAAGCACTGGGATAATGAGAATTTTGAACATTGAGTTTTGGATCTGCACGTGAATAGTAATTGCATTCCAGAATCAAGGATCTCAGAGAGTGGCTGTTAACAGCTTACCAGGTATCCAGGAATGTCAAAAGGAGCTTTGAATCTTGGGAGTGAATTTCCAAGAAATTGAATTTCTAAAAACCTATTTCTACGTTTTTAAAAACTTAGTTTAAAGAATTTCAGCACCTCATTTCTACTGATCTGTCATACAGCAGACAGGAGCTCACGTATAAGCAAGATTGAGCTAGAAAGCCCAGGATCAGAATTGTGAAGAATGGTTTGCAATGAATGCCATTTCAATCATTACTTGGAGTTACTTCAACCTTGCACCTCTTTCCTGACACAAAAATGACAAGATTCTCTTTGAGATATACATGGTTCATCTTAAGGTTATTCTTCAACCCATTGTTAAAAATCTTTTTTTTTTTCAATTGCTGTTCTTGGGAGACTCTACATTCAAACTTCTAAGTAGTGTCTGTATTATTGGAGGAGTTAGTTGCTTTTTTAATTTAATTTTAAACTTACTTTTTTGCTTCTTTGGGGAAGGTGCATCAGCAGTTACTTCTAGTGGAGAAAATTTAATATGTAAGTATTAATACATGCAGATATATACAGCAAGCACATGGCTTTAGTCTTTTATACACTTTCCCTGTATTTTAGTTGCAGAAATTACCCTCCTTACACACTCAAGGTTTTTATTTAGATTCAATTTAGACTTTCCTTATAAAAATGAATACCTAAGTATAGAAACATCCTTTTGACAATTTTACAAACAGGAAGGCTGGCCCTTTTGGTGTGGGGTGCTGATGAATGGCAAACATTCATTTCTTCACAGTCAGGTATTAAGTAGTAAAGGTAGCATCTACAGAAATAATTCTGACTTTTTGGAGGTCAGTCATTCTTGTGTACTGGAGAGTGTGTTTTTCATTTAGTATTTCAAAATGTCCTGTGGGCTGTTTTAAACAATCACTACTCCAGTGCACAATGGGAAAGCATAATTCTTCCATTTTGGGTTTTGTTTTTCTTTAGTTAACTCGTTTGTTACTTCTCTTCTGCTGTCTCCTGTTTATCACAACTGCTTCATTCTGTTCCTGTATGCAACTGGGTTCTATTTTTTAAAAATGAGTAATGGAATGTGGCAGTTTTCATATTTCACTTAAAACAATGTCCATCAGACCCATCCATTTTGCTGCAGACAACAGATTGTGTGTATTTTTGTTTGGTTGGGTTTGGTTTTGACTGAATAATAACCCATTGTATATACATGCCATAATTCCTCTACGTTTTATTCACAAACAGGCATTTTGTTCATTCTATACAGTAGCTATGTAAATAGTGCTGTAATCAATATGGAAGTGCAGGTATAATTGTGTGATAATAATTTGTCTCCTTTGAATATATATTCAGTATTGGAATTGACAGAATGTATTGTAGGTCTAAGTATAGTTTTAAAAGGAATACCTGTATCATAAATCACAGAATCAATTGCCATTCACAGCAGTTTTATACATTTTTCAGAATACACCTTAATACATGCTTAAATATAGAATTTATTTTTGCAAGACTTGGGTACCCATTTATCATACAGTGCCTTTTCTCAAAGCAGTGCTTTTCACATTTTAATGAAGTCCAGGACCAGATACAAACACATACTTCATAGAAAGAAGAATTTTTGGAAAATTTTGCTATTCACAGAATATATTATAAGTAGAACAGAAAATGACTGTGTTGTAGCAGTTTGAATTCAGAAGCTAGGAGCCATTCAACAAACAATGACACTCAGCAAACTAGTTCCAACTCTCACTTTCCAGGTAAAAACATTTGGAAATGTTTGATCTGGAGATAGCAAGTTTTTTCTGAGTGCATGCACTTCGTGTGTGTGTGTGTGTGTGTGTGTGTGTGTGTGTGTGTGTGTGTGTGTGTCTTTTCTAGGTCTTCTCTTTTCTTCCTTCCTAGTTGTTTTTCCCTTTATGAGAAGGCTTTTGCTATAGGTGACTTTTTTCTTAATTAAGGGAAATTTTTGACAACGTAATATTTTTGCACTCAATAAAGTGATGATTTTGTTATCAATAAACATGATGCATTTAAAGAATATTTCCGTAGGTTACACAATACATGATTGTTACTTTTAAATAATGTCCATCTAGCTCTTCTTCAATATGCAAGGAAATGCATATTTTATAAAAATACAGAATTATTACAAATAAGTCTGCCACATAAATGTTGATACTTGTAACAAAAGATCAAAAACATTAAACTAAAACAAATGAACAACAAACAACAAAGCATTACATCCTTGAGAGAAAATGTGCAAATGAACAAAGGTAACAGACTCACCTTTGTCTTTTTTTGAAACTGGTAAGTCTTTGGAATCTTCTAGAATACAAAGATGAAAAGTAAATCACAGTTTAAATGTTTTTTGTTGCTCAAGGGAAAATACTCTTCTTAAAGATTTTAACAAGTGACAGGTCCATAATCTAAATGCAGCTTCTAGTTCAAGCATTCTGACTTGGGAAATGGGTGTATTGGGAGCAGCACTGAGCTGCTTCCAAAAGCATAGGGACAAAGTACATGACGCACATCTCATCAAAGTACGGCACACTTCATTATCAAAATACAGGACACATCCCATCAAAGTATGGGATACATCACATCAAAATATGTCTAAGCAACAAAGCAAATACCTAGGAGAGTAAAAAATACAATTTATGAAATGAAATAAAATATTTGCAAACCATATAGCTGATAGAAGATTAATATATAAAAATGTGTAAATAATATGTCCAGAGAGAAAAAGACAGTATACTCATGATCCAAAGATCCACAAAGATAAGATCAATAACCCTGTTAAAATTCACAAACCCAGAGAGGCTAGTAACATGGATGGCTCAAGGTGGGGGGCACTCAGATCTCCCTGGGAAGGGGAATTAGAAAAGATTTCCTGGGTGGACCAGAGACAGGTGGGGATTGGAACATGAAAGATCACTTGAAGGGTAGTGTAAAATAAATAAATACACATATTTAAAAATAAAATAATTAAGTGAATATATAAATAAACATGATTCAGATGAATATAAAAATAATTGTCATGGAAATAAAATAAAAATCATTATAAGACATCACATGCCAAAAGGTCATTATCAAATAATGTCAAGTAATACCAAGTATTTAGAGAAAAAGAAGCTTTCTCATTTTCTTGGTTGGGAATTAAATTGGTCTAGTCACCAGAGAAAAATTATGGAGTTTCACAAAATCGTGAAAAATGTATCTGCTGTATAATATTCAGCAACTTCACTAGAGGATACATGTCCAGGACATATCTGGCTCATCATGTGCACAAAATTTTCAAAGACAGCGCCTTAATACTGGCTTAGTGGGTTAAGTGCTTGAAGTATAAAGCTTGGGTCTGGATCCCAGAGCAAACATAGCATGGCATGATACACAGCTGTAATCCTGGCCCTGAGGGTGCGGAAGCCAGAGGATCATAAGTATATTAAATCATCAGATTGTACAACTTAAAATGTTCAATTTGTTTTTACCAATTATATATTAATGAAACTAGGAAAAATGACCCTAATTTTGAATTGAAACTCAAATATTTTGAAAATCACTTTGTCTTATATATTCTGACCTACTAGCACATATGGAATTATGCGGAAGTAATTTTAAATCAGAGACAACACGAACACAATATTTTGATTTTCATTACAATCTCTTAGTGCTTTTAAATGTTTTATTTACTCAGAGTTTGCATACCATATTTTAACTAATTAAAGGAAAAGGGGTAAGACAGGTCAGTGTTTGAATTTTCTCTGATAGAAAAGAAATGTGATCTTCAATGAGAAACATTATTATGTAAAAGAACAAAATGGAAAACAAAGCAAAATTACTAACAGCATTTCTATAATTTGTAATAAAATTTTGAAGTGAACTGTTTTAAAGTTTATTTAAATATTAGCTTAGCTGTGAATATCTACTTCTGCTTCCATCAGCTACTGGATGAAGGCTCTATGATAACATTTAAGGCAGTGTTCATTCTCATTATAGGGGTAGAGCAATTAAGGCAGCCTCTCCATTATTGTTTAGATTCTTTACAATAGTGTTATCAAATGGATCTTTCTAATATTAAGGAAAGGTTGAAGAGTCCATAGAACCCTTGTTTATACAGATAATACATCACATGCCAATTAATGTTTGGAAATTAAAGCAATCATTTAAAATACATTTTAAAAAATCCCAAGCATGTATTGTCTGGAGAACTCTAATGTATGGTCATCAGAACAAGAGAGTGGAAAAGGTTATAGGGGATGGGTGCTAATATGAAAGGGTTTTTCTTTCTCTTCTCAATGTGTGTGTGTGTGTGTGTGTGTGTGTGTGTGTGTGTGTGTGTGTGTGTGGTTTTCCAGATCCTATCTTCCGTTTCTTGCTTCCTTGTTTTTTTCTTCCTTTATGAGAGGGCTTTACTATAGGTGACTTTTTTCTTAATTAAGAGTAACTCATGAGGATACAATAGGTTTCCCCTACTTGATGAAATTAACTTTAAATATGATCATCTTTAAATGATATTTCTGGAGATTAGTCAAAAATGCACCTGATAAATACTTTTTAATATGTCCAGTAGTCTTTTTTCAAAATGTCATGGGATGCATAATTCATAAAAATACAAAATTATTAAATAATAATTCAACCTCATAAATGTTGCTTAAAATTCCAATAATTGCACCAATAGATTAACCTAAAACAAACAGCAAAGCATTGAATCCTTGAGAGAAAATATATAAATGAGCAAAAGGTAACAGGCTCACCTTTGTCTCTCTTTGAGGCTGGTGAGTCTTTGGAATCTTCTAGAGAACAGAAATGAAAAGTAAATCACAGTTTAAATGATTTTTTCCTCAAGGGAAACTATTTTACTAAAGATTTTGACGAGTTACAGGTCAGTAATCTAAAAGCAGTTTCCACTTCAAGCATTCTGACTTGGGAAATGGGTGTAGAGGGGGTGACACTGAGCTGCTTCAAAAGCAGAGGGAAATATCACTTCAAAGTACGGAACACGTCACATCAAAACATTCTAAGCCACAAGGGAGGTAATTCAGAGAGTAAAAAACACAATTTAAATGAGATAAAATATTTGCAAGCCATATAATTGATAAGAGATTAATATCTAAAAACGTGCAAGTAAGTCATATCCCTGGAGAGAAAAAAATAGTTCAATTAAGATATTAAAAATAGATGCACAATATAAACAGGAACATTAAAATATGATCAATCTCATTAATTGTCATGAAGTGAAATAAAAATCATTATAAGACATCGCATCACAGGTCAGAATGACAATTATCAAATACTGTCAAACAACAAGAATTTAGAGAAAAAGAAACATGAGAATTTGGGTTTGGACACTCTAAATCAACATAAAAGATCAGGTGTGGTGGCACACATCTATAATCCTGACCCTGTGGATGTCCCTGGAGCTTTCTGAGAACTAGTCCAAATAAGGAGCATCAGGATTAGTAAACGATCCTGCCTCAAAAGCCCATATGGGAAAATATGGAATAAAACATCTAAAATGGACCCATATCTTCAACATGTGTGTGCAAACACCTGCAAGGACCTACACACACATAGGTACACACAAAAACACATCACACACACACAATCACAGAATTCTGTAAGAAGACATTTTAATGTAAAATTCTTGCTACAAAAGTTAACTGAGGCAATTAATATGGTTATTAGCTTCTTCATCATAATTATATCTTGACTTATATGCATATTAAATTGTACACCTTAAATTGTTCACATTGTACACCTTAAAAATTGCAATTTTTCTTTACCAATTATACCTCAATGAAACTGGAGAAAAAAGACATTAAACTTTAGTTAAAACTCAAAGACACACACAAAAAAATCTTCAAAGACATAAACAGAAACTCAGTTATATTTTGAAAATTATTTTGTCCTTTATACATTCTGATTACTGGAATCATGTGGGAGTAATTTTAAATCAGAGACAATATTCACACTATATACAGGAGCAATTCTTTGATTTTCATTGCAATCTCTTAGTACTTTTAAATGTTTTATTTACTATATTATATATGTACATATATAATATATTATAACTAATAAATGGAACAGGGGTGAAATATGTCAGTATTTGAATTTTTTCCTAATAGAAAAGAAATGTGACCTTCAAGGAGAAACATTATTATGCAACAAAACAAATTAGAGAACAAAACAAAATTACTAGCGCCATTTTCATAGATTGTGATTAAATTTTGAATTATCCTGTTTTGAAGTTCATTTAAATATTGGCTCAGCTCAATTAAATACAGATGAATTGGCCAAAATCTTAACCTAACTGATCAATAGCTATAAATAAAAGAGATCTATAATTGGTGGCATGATGTTTGTATATAACATAGAATGCATCTTTTGAATATGATGTCACACTATCTAAATGAGGGAAAAGATCTTCCTTTAGGAATCTGAACACTTACATCAAATTTCTGCACAAAAGCAAAATGATACAAGGGCTTTATCCATAAAAACGTAAATAAACAATTTGTAGGTTACAACATACCAAAAACTAAGATACTGATTCTCAAAAGCAGTTCTTTTCCCTAGGATTAACTATATGTTTAAAGCATTTAATTGTATTATTTTAACTATGGGTATATGTTTGTTTGTGTGTGGGTGTGTACATGTGAGGACAGTACCTCTAATGCTGCCATGTTTTCTTTGTGTTGTGGGGATTACCTTGCTATAAGATTATGAAGTTATTTCATAACTGTAATTTTGCTAATGTTATGAATTGTAATGAATGTTAAAGGGTCAGCCAACTCACAAAGGGGTTGTAACCAATAGATTGAGAACCACTGCTTTCGAGGATGTCAGATCTCTTGAAGCTGAAGTTAAAAGTGTTTATGAGTTGTTTAATTCTGTTCCTCTGTAAGAGCAGTAACTACCCTTTAACTACTAAGCCATCTCACCAGCCCTCAACCCTTAATCTTCAACTTGACACTGTCCCAAGAGTGAGAGACCTTGGTACACTCAATAACAAGTGGGAGGTCTTCATCAAACCCCTCTCATTACCACTTCGGGAACTGTATGGAAGAGGAGGTAGAAAAATTGTAAGAGCCAAGGGAAATGGGAAACACCAATGAAACAGTGAGTTCCAGACACAAGCATGGACACACACACAAATTCCAGAGAGTTCAGCAGCATATACAGGACATACAAAAGTCTGGTTCAGATGGGGTCTAAGCTCTGAGAAAGAAAGCAACCATGAACCTCCATTTATCCAATGGAGTCTCACTGGGTACAGAATTCACACTTAAGAGCGAACTCATGCCCAGTACTAGAGGGTCAACACATAAATGAACATAAATTGTGTTTTTGGATTTGCTTTGTAATGCTTTGTTAAAGTATTTTTTTACCTTCTTTTGCTTATCTACTATGATTTTCTAGTTTGTGTTTTTATGGGTTTTGTGTAGTGTGTGTGTGTGTGTGTGTGTGTGTGTGTGTGTGTGTGTGTGTTGTCCTTTGCGTTTTCCTTTTTTCCCATCAGTTGTTAGCTTTATTTCTGGTTTGTTTGTTTTCCTATTGACCTGCTTGTTTTCACAGAGAAGGAAAAAGAAGATGTGATGCAAAGAATCATGATGGAGGCAGAACAGCTTAGGTTCTGTGAAGTTGATGAAAAAGAGAAACTGAAGATCCCATATGTTCACAATTAGGAGGTTGTACACTGGGACAGGACAGAGTCTCTTGTTGGCTGCTGTGCATGCCAACAAGGTTACCTGATGAATGAAAGGTCTCTGACATACAACTCATAATAGGCGATATAGAGCACAGAAACATGCTACCAAGTCCATCTTTTATGTGGGTACTGGGGATCCAAGCTTAGTTTCTCATGCTTGCCCAATAAGGGCTTGAGTTATATGTCACTTGAAAGAGTTAAGTGACTCCAAAGATCTGTTGAGCACACGTTGAGTAATGCTACTTCAAATACCAAACTTGATTTTTGTAAGATAGGCAATGTATTATAAAAAAAGAGATAATAAAATATAACTTGTCAAAAAGAAAAGGGACTATTTAAAAATAGGTACAATAAATTCAGATCCTCTAAATGAATTCACAGAAATACGCAGATACACGTTCTACTAATCTCTAGGCACTTCTAATATAGTCAAATTGGCAATCATGATTACCCATCGCATATTTAAAAATATATAATTTTCCTCTGAGATGTTCAGACAGCTCTGCATGCTCTTAGCAAACACAATAAATAAACAAAATCTACCTAAATAATGCATGCATTTGGTACCCTCACAGTTACTGCATCTTTTCTCTGCTAGAAATCTGTTTGGATAGTTGCAGTGCCAAGAGATACTCATTATTAAACATCTGGGACCCTTAGGCACAAACACAAAGGAAATTTAGCCTGGAGTTTTGTATTCTTTCTCAGTCCTCTCGTTTCATTAAATTGAATACATAGCTTTGCAGTTCTAGAGACATCCAATATATTCAAATTATTTTTCAACTTACTTTCTGAATTGTGTATCAGCAGGTTAATACAATATTATATTCTGTGAGTTTATATTTTCCCAAGAAGTCCAATGCATCCACCATTGTTCAAAGAAAGAGTTAGCAGATAGTCTATCTTTAGCCCTCAGGTAAGAGAGGTAATACATTCTCTTATTGAAAATGGTCATGAGATTGAAAGAAAATTAACTGCTACAATGAACAATGGACACAGCATTCTTGAGCTTGGCTCCAGGGAATAATAAAGTATGCAGAGATATCCCACATTTGGAATTTTACACACATGACACAGTGAAGCCAAGGGTGTTGAATAAACAAATGTAGTCCTTTCAGAGTATCCACGCTGTCACTCTTAGCGTGAGATTACTGTCTTTAGGGCAATGTCAGAACAACTTAACATCACCCGTAAACGAATGAGGTCATACTGCTGTGACCCAAAGACTATTAAGGAATAGTGGCAAACATCTCACCAAATGCACTTTACATAGAATTTCTCAGTGTCAGCAAAGAGGAAAGAAGTGTTCAGAATGATATTCATGCAGCCAGTAAACAGAAGACTTCAGTCAAAAGCGACTGTTCTGTTGTCAACTTCAGAAACAAAGTGAATCCAGTTACATTTGCTCCAAAAGTTGAGATGGTTTCCAAATCGAACATAAAAGGCAGGAAATGTCTATTTTTCTTAGTAATTCATTTCATCATCTACATTGATACTGAAAGTATAATCTGGATGGGGAAGAAGCAGGTCAATACCATAATCCTCATACCCACACACCTAAGTCAATGGTCAATGACCATCATTAAGCACCCAACACCACTTATATACATTACTATTGTAGTTAGCTGATCTTCCCAAATGTCATAGACTAAATATTGCAATTCAAATTTTAACCAAACTCCAAAAATATTAAGTTAGATTACAGTAGCCCAGAAATATTAATTTTTCTAAATTTATACAGCTTTTATGTGAAGATTTCTAAGCCTGAGCCCCCTCTAGTATCAGCAGCCACTGTCCCATAAAACAATTTGTAGAAATTCAATGTCAATTTCTTTATATCAAAATATCTTGATATCACTAATTTTTAAACATTTTGCTTCAATAGTTAACCTCCTGCAATTACTGAAATTTAGGATTCTATAATCAGGGGCTCTATCTTTTTAGTTATATAACTAAGACAGATTATGCTCCTCCTTTTAACTTAGATAAGTGCATATTAATACTGAGTTAATATCAGACTTGAGGACAATAAAAAATAGTCAGTAGTGTGGGTGAAATGCTCACTTGCATACCCAAGAGTTCATA